ATCTCCTTAAATGCCTCCTGATCAGCCACTGGTCTAGTAGTGACAGCCATAGCATAGGTCTAGGCTAGAGACCATAGTTGACAGGATCCCTGTCAGGATTCTGTGAGTCTTAGATTGAGTCAGTAGGTCTGTCGGTCAGGGGTTAAAGTCTACGTGGTGAGGAGTGGAATCATTCTGATTGTGCACCTATCACCATGGTTGAGACCCGCCAAGGGACGATTACTACCCCTTATGCCGCTGAGCAGCAAGCAAAGATGGCCGCCTTAGTGAAAGAGAACAGGGAGAGAAAAGAGCGCGAGAAGCAAGCTAAGTTAAAGGGTATCGCGGATGAGCAGGCAGCGAAGATGAAATAGATAGAGGAGGAGATGGCGAGAAAGAAGAAAGCCGCTGAAGAAGAAGCGGCGGTGGAGGAAGAGAAAGAGAGGATGAGAATTGAGAGTGGAAAAGGGAGCAGTGGTGGCACGATGATGAGGGAGACAGATATTGAGATGAAGGAGAAGATCAGCGAGTGGGCCGCTAATTTATCGTTGGGTGAAGAGGAGGAGGCAGAGTCCTATGTGACTGAGGATGAGAGGGCTGCGCAAGCTAGTGAGCTAGCAACAATGACAGATCCTATGGAAAGGCGAGAAAGGGAGGAGGAGCAGAAATTGGCATCAATAGTTACATTTACTTACTGCACATCCTGATTGAGGAACAAGTCATCGTGGCCTTCCAGGCCCTCAAAGATGAAGCGGCTAGTTTCGCCAGGTCTCTCGCGCGTACAGCCGGTTGTGAAAACAACCTGGTTCCATATTCCAAAGTCACCCCTCTTTCCCAATTCCTCAAGCTCCTCAAGGAGTGTTTCATTGACCCAACGCGAGGCATTAGAGCCTCTAACAAGCTGCAAACGATCCACTCACGGCAGTGGAGGAGTGCCAAGGCACTCAAGAGTACCATGGACGACTTGGTAGCCGTCCCGGACCATGGGGTCACTGAGACCCAGTTGGTCAAATTGTTTTATCGTGCCATGTTAGAGGCCCTACGCGGGCATTTCTTTGACAAGTCTCAGCAGGCCGGCATCACTTACGATGCATTAAGTAGAGAAGTCGTTCTGTATGAGTCGAAGACTCGAAGTCTATGCCAGTTACCACTTTCTGGCATAAGGACCAGGAGAAGGGGAAGAAGTGGAAGGATCGTACCATCTCGGGCCAAGTCAAGGCCAAGGATCACTTGATCCTGACATTAGAGGAGGGTGGTACAGAAGAGGTCCCATATGATCAGATTGAGTAGGGCCTCGGGAAGGAGTATAGTAGTGTAGGGCAGGGGAGGTCTTACACTGTTGTCGCGGCCGGAGGGAGACCGCAAGGTAGAGGAGGAGGCCAGGGCCAACGGGGCCAGGCCATGGGAGGCTGAGGACCGGGCGCGCAGGGGGTTGGCGGCCAAGGAAACCGCCAAGTGGGAGGTAGGGGTCAAGGTCCCCCGTCAAATCGCCAGGGTAATCGGTCCCCACAATGAAGAGGTGGAAGGGCACCTCAAGGAGGTTGGCACCCAGGCTTGCCACATGGCAGGCCGTGGGAAGACTTGGGCTTGGACCAGCGCGTATGGCAGGAATGCGTGGACCGGGGTCAGTGCGTGTTTTGTGGTGACCCGGCTCACGTTATCAAATTTTGTCCAAAGTATAGACAGGCCCGTTGGGCTGCCCAACAGTAAAAAAGCAGCCGTCAGTAGGGGTTGCAACTGCCCCTACTTCAAGGTCGTGTGGAGAAGTAAGCGCGCGCGAACAAGACACTCCCAACCCACATGAGCCTATGACAGAGGTTGCAGGTCCGTGCCAAGATAGTTGTCCAGAGACTGCTTGTGTTAGCGTCTCTTTAGGCACGTCCCTCACAGGCGTGGCAGAAGAGTTAAAGGAGAGGATGCCAGCCTGGGCCAAGATGAAGAAAGAGAGTAAAGGACAAATGATTTTGGTAGATGTAGCGGTATTTAGAAGTAGGGTAGGGGCCCTTATAGACTCAGGGGCTACCTGTAGTTACATTAGCCGTAGGGCGCTAAAGAAGATGAGGCTAGGACTAAAGGTCCATAAATTAGTAGACCCAATAGTCAGTGTCCTCGCAGACAACCGCACGATGCGAGTTGAGGACTACGTAGAGGAAGTCCAGGCGTACTTTCGCCTAGAGAAGAATGGAAAGGTGAAGAAGGTCCTCCATTCTTTGACTCTCCTCGTGCAGGATGACCTTCCTTTCGATATAGTGTTAAGAATGGATTGGGGAGAGGCAGCAGGGGYCACACTTCATTTGAGAGAGCATGAGTGTAGGCTCCCTAATCCGTCAGGCGAGGTTAAGACTGTCCGCTTGTTCCATGTGTCCAGTGTAGATAACACCTTGGCACATTGCTGTCTCAGTGCTCCCGCGTTTGCGCGATTAGTAAAGAAGGAGCAGTTAGAAGACCAGGTCTTTATAGGTTATGTTGGACCTGTCACTGAGGCCCAGGAAAAGGATAGTTCCACAGATCCAACAATTGTCAAGCTGCTGGAAGAATTCAAAGACTTGACTGAGTCGTCGACAGGAGTAGTGTCGCGACCCATCCAGCATAGGATAGAGATAGAGTCTGGCAGTAGAACTCCTAAGGGTGCAGTCACCAGGATGTCCCCTAGAGAGTTAGAGGAGCTTCGCAAGCAGTTAGACGAACTCCTTGAGAAAGGTTGGATCAGGCCCAGTTCGTCTCCTTTTGGAGCACCAGTTTTGTTTGTCCCCAAAAAGGAAGGAGAGTTTCGTATGTGTATAGACTATAGGGGTTTGAATGCGATCACAGTGAAGAATGCTGAGCCGCTGCCCAGGATAGACGATCTTTTAGATCGGGTGCAGGGTTGCAAGTATTTTTCAAAGATAGACTTGAAGTCCGGATACCATCAGATTGAAGTCCATCCTGACGATCAGTATAAGACTGCGTTCCGGACTAGATACGGGCACTATGAGTTCATAGTAATGCCCTTTGGACTAACCAACGCGCCAGCTACTTTTCAGCGTTATATAAATGACCTGTTTAGACCGTGGTTAGATAAATTTGTAGTAGTCTATTTAGATGATATCCTAGTTTTTAGTGAGACCCTCCAGGAGCACCAGGGTCATCTGAGGCAGGTCTTGGAGAAGCTTAGAGAGGCTAACTTCAAGATCAACGCGAAGAAGTGCGAGTGGGCCAAGACGCAAGTCTTATACTTGGGCCACGTGTTGGACGGAGATGGCATTAAGCCAAAGGACAGTAAGATCACGGCAATTAGAGACTGGCCGACGCCCCGCACATTAACAAAGTTGCGGTCGTTCCTAGGCTTAGCTAACTACTATAGGAAGTTCATGAGGAACTTTTCCACTATCGCCGCCCCCTTGCGCAGACTGCTAAAGAAAGAGGCAATTCGGCAATGGGACAAAGATTGTACGTCTGCGCTAAAGAGATTGAAGCGCACATTGATAGAGTACCCTGTCCTCAAAGTAGCAGATCCGTCCTTGCCATTTGTCGTCACTACGGACGCAAGTCAGTATGGGATAGGCGCCGTGTTGCAGCAAGACGACGGCAATGGCTATAGACCCGTAGAGTTCATGTCACCGAGGATGCCCTGTGAGAAGATCGCTACCTTCACGTACGAGAGAGAACTTTACGCTCTTAAGCAGGCTTTAGACCATTGGAAGCACTATCTGCTTGGGAGGCACTTCAAAGTGTATTCCGACCACGAGACACTTCGTTGGTTAAAGACACAGGCCAAGATGACACCTAAGTTGACTAGGTGGGCCGCAGAGATAAACCAATTCGACTTTGAGCTCAAGCCAGTGAAGGGCAAAAACAACGTAGTTGCGGATGCTCTGAGTAGGAGATCAGACTACTTTGGAGCCGTAGTACACTATCTGGATATAGGGAGAGACCTGCAGGAGAAAGTGAGACAAGCGTATACGCAGGACCCTATCTATAGCGACCTCCTAAGGGAGTTAGAGAGGCCCCAGAGACCGAACCAGACTACCGCACTACAGACGAGTTGCTATTTGAGAAGACTAATGTGTTTGACCGCCTGTGCGTTCCCAACAGCGAAGAGATTCGTAGTCTGATTTTGGGGGAATGTCACGATACTGAGGGACACTTCGGTTGGCAAAAGACGTTAGCCAATCTAATGTGCGCGTACACCTGGCCAGGGATGAAGAATGAATGCATAGAGTATGTCCGCAGTTGTAAAGTATGACAGAGGAACAAATCTACTACACACGCCCCCCTAGGTCTTCTCAGACCCTTGCCTATTCCGGATCAGCCGGAAGACTCGGTGTCCATAGACTTCATGGACACGCAAGTCAAGAGCAGACATGGTAAGAGCCAAGTCATGGTCATWGTCGATCGTTTTAGTAAGTATGCCGTTTTTGTTCCTTTGCCTGCAGAGGCACATACAGATTTAGTAATACAGAAGTTCTTTGACTTTTGGRTTAGTKAGAATGGWRTYCYATTGTCAATAGTTAGTGATAGAGATAGTCGTTTCACCAGCCAGAACTGGCAAGAACTCATGAGAGTCTACGGATCTAAGTTGTTAATGTCGTCCGGCCGTCACCCAGAGACTAACGGTCAGACAGAACATATGAACAAGATCCTACAGCAAGTTCTGCGCATGTATATTAGACCGGATCAGATTAGCTGGGATGAGATGTTGCCTAAGGTAGCTAGTGCATACAACAACAGCGTGCATCTATCCACCTGCCGCACTCCCAATGAGTTGCACAAGTCCTTTAAACCACGCAGACCATTCGAAGTACTGAACCGGGATCAGATTCACAGATTACCACCCGGTACCAGGGAGTTTGCGATACAGCACCAGAAGGAACGAGCAACTGTTGTGGAAAACCTCAGGAAGGCCCAGCATAGGATGATAGAGCAAGCTAATAAGCACCACCGCCCGTCGCAGTTTCAGGTAGGCGACTTAGTCTGGGTCAAGGCTAAAGAGTTTGCACCTGAGGAAAACATCTCGCAGAAGCTACTGCCCGCATATAGAGGACCGTGGCCGGTTCTAGAAGTCAAGGGCGGAGAGGATGGACCGTCCTATAGCATTGAGATTCCAGCACACCTCCACACATACCCTGTGCTTCATGCTTCAAAGCTGCTACCGTGTGTCACAAGTCAACAGTTCCCTTCGAGAAGATCCATGATCCCCCCGGATATGGATGGAAGTTATAACATTCAAGGCATTGTAGATGAGGATGTGTTCAGAACAGGAGGTAGAGGTCGTCCCCAGAAACAATATAAGGTCCGTTTTGCCTATCAGGAACCGGAAGACNNNCACACACACACACACACACAGTTACATGCTGCTCCTGCAACAGGCTGATTTGAAGATATAAAGACAATGTAGTTGAAGATTACATCTCACAGCATACTACACCGCCAAACAGCATATGGATCACTCCATACTCCAGACCTTCTACTTCATGCTGCTCAGTCTGTGTGTGAGAGAACACTCACTTCCTTTAAATACCCAAAAAAACTTCGATCCTGTCCCTTCGGTCTGGTCCGGAGTCTCAGGTCCCCGGACAGTGTCCCGCCTAAAAGCTAAAATAAACTAAAGCTTTGAAAAACTTTGAAAAACCTTCTCCCACAAAAAATAATAATATTTAATAAAAATATATTTAATGCTCAGTATCGATATGACTGGGATGGGCAAACCCTCATCCCGGATCCTCAGAAATCCAAGCATAAGACACACACTGCCAAAAAGACAAAATTCGACACGCTGCGTCTGCGCCGTGAGGCTCGAGCCGCCCGAGTCCGACGAACTCCAGACAAAACGTGAAGAGAGCACAAAACACTGCGTCATACCCCGGTCGATATCTGGGTGCCCAGGTCCCGTCGCGCCAGTGGTGCAGTGTTCGTCCCAGTAGCAAGATACCTTCTCGGAAGATTGATCGGGTTCATTCCGCCGAATCCTCGAGATCTCGAACGAGTCATACAGCGTGTGCTGTCAAAGTGTGATAATATCCAGACCAGGTGAATGGTACCATTCGTGTAGATCAGATCCATCCCTCGTAACACTTGGCGATGTTCTGAACCATCTGCGGCCAACATCCCCTGATTCTTCCAGCTACCTTTCTCAGGGCATTAAAAATCATAAGGCTAGGAAACCCCGCACCCTTCTGTTCTCGGTGGAAGGTGATGATGGCGAGGGGTAACAAAGCCTCTGAACTCGTGTTCGAGTGAATTCGATATATGGTTCCCATTAATGTCGCGATTTTCTGTTCCTTGGGCCCGAAAGACGAGAAAAGTCTTGTAGTCATATACTTCGGTTTACCGGGGTATTCCCAGATGCTGTCTGAATTTTTGAACTTATGCATGGAGATAATCTCCGCGGGTTCTTCGAGCACAAACATCTTGGTTTCGAGGAACTCAACGATATTTTGCCCATTGTCAGTTCGTTCGAGCCTCAAATCCTTGTGATAGCAAGTGTTAATCCTTTCCATCCGGGTTAGAGCCTCGACTTCACTGTCTCTGAAAAAAACGATTAGCAACAGATCATCGACGTAGCGTTTACCAAACAGCAGCTTAGCATCCTTTCCTAGGCTCCTTAGGAACTGGTTTTCGGCAAACATACAAACCAGGCAGGCAAGAGGGGGGCTTGCTTGCCCTCCCATAGGAATACCCCTATTTTGTTTCAGGATCTCCCCGCATGATTTGAAGAAGCAGTGTTCCAAATTGAAAACAACCAGGTTCTCCAAATCATGTAACCGTACTGACTTCCATCCGCCTTCGCCGGCGGACTTGCCCAACACGGCACGCTTACCCCTGATTTTAACTCTAGCCCAATGTCTCCCTTTACTTCTTGCTTCCAAGAAAATCCAACTCACGGCCCGACGTACTTCGTCGTGAGGGATTCTTGAAAACATTTCTTTTATATCGAATGTTTGGGCCAGGATTCTCATATTCAAGTTTTGAGCCTTTTTATTGACACCATGCAAACAGTTCTTTAATTCGTTCCCTGCCATCAAATTGAAATGCTGGCATTTTGTATTCTTGATGAGCAGATTCAAAACTTTTACTAATTGTCTGTTGCAGTGCCGAACAGGACTTAAGAACGAGGGGCAGATTGGTCGTTTTTTATTTTAGTCCTTATCTTTGCTCATAATGAATGCATTCTGGAGTTTGCCTTTCCCATCCCATCCTGCGATCCTTCCCAATTTCTTCTTCTTGAAGTCCATCTTCATCTCCTTTAGTACATCTTCCTCCTTTGTGAAACGGTTTTCACCTTTTAGCAGTAGCGGATGCAGTACCCAGGGTTCGATCCCTAGACCTCACCCTACCCATGTACAGTATCTGTGTAGACCCCGAGAATCGAACCTGTGACCTGTGTATTCGTAGGCAGTTGGTAGGCCTGTCGTAGGTCCATAGGCAACAGGGGTTCGATCTGTAGGTCTATAGCGTAGAAGTCTTAGTGAGTTCCGGAAGCTTAGCTGTAGACCTTCTAGAAGGTAGGCAAGTGGGCAAGTGGTCAAGTGGTGAGGCAAGTGGTGGACTAAACCGCAGTGCAACAGCAGTACAACGTCGGTAGGATAGCGGTGAGTCCACAGTCAGTCAGCGGAAGGTCCAGTCAGTCCCAGTCCGGTCCAGCAAGTACCACAGGGGGACTGTGAGCACCAAGGGCCGATGRCAAAGGGCAGACCAACRAGTTTCTGAAGTATAAATCAAGAGGCAGSGCCCAGCYATTCATTCATTCCTGCGTGAGCCATGCGGAAGCGCTGCCACAGCGACTTGTGCAAGGAGGTCTGCAGATRAGCCCGGAGGACGCAGTGGGCAAGAGAGAGGGAGTTAGCATAGCGATAGGTTAGATGCAGCGATAGCTGCCATAGCTGTAGTTAGTAGTGAGTGTGTGTGTGTGTGTGTTCGGGTGTTAGAGTGATGCGTGTGGGGTATCCAGGGTGATCCAGTGTATGTGAACAGTGAGATGTTTGGGCGCTGAAGTCGCCATAGCCAATTGAGAGTGAACTCGTATCTGGAAGCCATGTCTCTGAGTTTTGAGTGGGCGCATGTCGCCAGTATGCTGCATTGCTGTTTACATGCATGAAAAGTGTGTTTGAGAAGGAGTCTGATCGCACTATCTACAAAAACAAAAAAAAGAAAAAAAAAAACAAAGAAAAACGCATCTATCAGCTCCAATGCTCCTCGTTTCTCTACTCTCAAGGTGACCTCTTCCTCCAATCCAATCATTGTTCCCTCAGTTTCAAGTTTTTATTTTGGAAGGATTTAATATGTACTATGTGAAAATAGACCCGGTTTCCAGCACAAGCCTAAGGGCCTCTTTTGTTACCACTTGAACTCAAGGGTTGAAGGAAAATTCTTTTTTCAAGCCCACCCTAACCTGGCCGAGGAGTTGTTTCCACTTTCCGCCTCTCTAGTGCCAGCCCTCGAAACTCAAGTGCGGCCGGGGCAAAATCGCACTTGAACTCAAGGTACCTCTCTGGGGAGCCTTGAGTTCAAGTGCCAGGGGATACCGCCAGCACTCCAAGTGGGGCCTTTTTTATGTTTTGTTTTCTTTTCCAGCAGGAGGTCCTGGTCCAGGATTGGTCAAGCCGTGGAGTTCGGTTTCAAGTGTGGACATTTCAAGTATTTCGCGAAGTGCACATGGAATGAAGATTTCAGTAGTAAGTATTTTTTAATCGCGATTTTTGGGTTAGGGCGCACTTGAGACTCTAGGATTCTAGTGGTGTCGAACGAGCCCCTAAAGCGGGTAATGCCATAATGGCCCCAGTTTTCCCTCCGGGTTGTATTGTGAGGTTTTCCCGGCCTCTACCGTCCTCCCCCGAACATAAGGCATATGCGTTGTAAACGAATACACCACATACCGTGTGTGGTATTCGTTTACAAGGCATACGCTTTAAGTTAGAGTGAACGAGACCAACTTTGCCTGGACAACGGGGTCGGGTCCAGGCTGAGTAGGCTCAGTTCTGGACCACGGCTGGGGGCCTCAGAGACTTGGCAAAAAGGTGAAAGTAAAGTTTCCATGTTCTGGGTTGAGTTTCATTCGTTTCCCCTACTTGGGCCCTTGCTCCACTCCCCAGCAAATGTGCAAAATGCGACCGTGGACAAATACAACCCCTTTCTGTTTTGTCTCCGTGACCACGGTAGTGCAGCGAGACCTTGGTGAGTGGCTTTCTTATTTTTCCACTTTCTTGGCCGCGCCAAATTCTTGGCTG